TTGTAGATCACCGTAGCTATGTTTTACAGACTTCGTTTCTATCTAGTACTTTCTAATACGAGTAACATTTAATATTATTAAGTTTTTTAAATTAAACACTTCAAAATGGTATTTTCCTGAAAAGTTATGATATTCCCTTGAAAATAGTTTTTTACAAACCTTAAATGTTCGGTAAGTTTAATGTATTGAGTTCATATTTTGTAAGAAATTTCTAAACCCTTACACACACTGGCAATGAATAGTATTCTTCGTAATGAATCTGTAGCCTCAACAAGTTCTGAAATCAAGATATAAAAACGGTCAAGTTTTTTTTTTGCGCAGCATAAATTTAATATTGTATTACATTCGTAGTATATTACTGTTTAGTACTCATACATTAACAAAATCAAACTTTATTATAAATAGATTTCAATTTATTGTTTATTCAAAATTTTCTGAGTCATGTGAATTCAACATGGAATAGAATGTAAATATTTGATGATATTTATTTTATAAAACTGATCCTTTATAATAAGATCATTCCTGTATAAAGTAACTACGTTGAACTGTACAAAATAAAACTTTTGTTAATGACTACTATTTCATTTACTACACCGAATCCATTTTTTTCCTACATTCATTTCAGACCTCCTGAGTATCAAGAAGAATTTTTTATAGTTATAATTAAACCGAGTTAAACTGAACCCGCCGAAAAAATTGTGAGACTTTTTGGTTTCCTGCTATATGGGTTAGAACCAAAGGGGTAATAAATATGAATACGACAGCCTAATTATTTGTAACGATTAAAATAAAATAATAAATAAACTTATGTGTGTAGGATTTGTGAAAAAACAATTTAATCAATCTCAATTTACATAACTAAAAAAGGGCCTGGCAAGTGATGTAATAATTTTACAATAATTTTACTGCATATCCTTTGATTTATTTGATGCAATGATTGCCTGCCATTTTAGTATGAAGCGCTTAATATTATTTAAATAATCTACTAGGTAATAAATATTTAATTGTGGTATTTTAAACACATTGTTAATTACACACACACAAAACGATTTCCAATGATGATGCCAAAGCTTCATTTGATAAAATAGTATTATACCCACACAAACGAGCATAAACATTTTCCAATATACTTTTAAATGTTATGTCACACTAAAACATAAAAACTTGTCAATTAAAAATAAATTTCATCACTTTGCTCGTCTATAATTTATGCAACGTAAAAATTGAAATATGAAACATACTTGTGCAAATTAAATTAAATTTGGTGCCAAATTATCCGAAATTCGTAACAAGAGCGTATTGAGCTTACGTAAGAAGCATTATACAAACGTGTTTTGTAAAATCTGATAATATTGAATCATATAATAAAATACTAGGTTACCCCAGTAATAAAGCTTACCAGTTCAAAGCTATTACATAATCAGGAATGTATACAAGTAATGTGTGGCATATCTGACAAAAATAATAACATTTAACATAATACTCACTGCACTTGTTTGATTTTAATTTATGCTTAAACTTTAAATGCTACAATTAACTGATGCATGATTCAATATTAAAAAAATTTATGATTCCAAATGTTAAACTGTAACGTGAAAATTTGCAAAATACCGTGGCGCGTACGACAAATTCTTGAAAAATCAATATTCTGATTTCAACGAAATTTCAAATAAAAATGTAGATAGAGAAAATTAGATACTTTTAAATAAAACTATATTGCACAAATTTTAATTTTAAACTTCTGTTTGTTATAAAATTGTTCATAAGTCTAGGAATAATAAAACAAAATTAGAATCATAAAGTTATAGTTTTTTTATAACTCTACGAACTTTTATTTATTAAGCTGCTGGTGACAATTTGTCTTATTTTAATGTAGTCTAACAAATAAATTGTAAAAATTAACTGCAAATCAGATACCATTTTTCTTGAAAGTGGCATTCCACCTTATTAACGATATCATTTTAGTTTATTACAGAATTTTTATACAGTTTTTTAAAAGTAACTCTTTAAAACATGCATGTAAGATTTTGTCATAAAAAGTTATCAAACTTCTTTGGAGTGTCGGCTAAAAGACTGTCATTATTGTTCAAACACAAGTATATAGGGCTTTCAACCAGTAGCAAATGATTTTTGTAGTTCTGTTGAGGCAGAGCAAGTGCTACCTTATCTGGTGAAGACATATTTATCAAATAATTATTTCCTCTTTTTAAGTCTGCTTCCTTATTAATGTTCTCATACTCTTGGTACAGTTTTCCGAAGTGCATTCTCGTACTTTTATCTAAAAGCATACCAAAAGTTTTTAATAGTTTTGTGAATGATGGTCTTAAAGTTTGCTCGTCCTCCCAGCAGTTGAGCATGATGTTGTAACTGAGAAATATATACATATAAATAAAACATATTGATGATTTAAAAAATAAACTAATTACATGAAAGAGCTTTTTTTTCACTAACAAGTATTTTGTTGCATATCTAGGTTGGCCCATTCTGTATCCGTCAATAAGTTTTTGGTATACTACTGAGGCTTGCATGCCTAGGTTTGCTGTCTTTGCAAGAGTAAAAAACTTTCAGATCACAATACCAAATGACCAAATGTCGGATTTAGTAAAATACTCCGTCCCTGAGGGATTCGATGGCCATCCTCTTATACGGCAATTTTACATCGTGTAGCCTCGTATAATTGATGTCTTTGTACAACGTCTGGGCGAAACCAAAGTCACAAATCTTAACGATGTTATTAGTAGATAACAAAATATTCCTGGCCGCCAAATCACAATGTAAAACCTGTACACGTAGAAACACCAGTAAAGTAATAAACAAAGTATGTACGAGTAGTAGTTTTGTATACATATTCTTACGTTCCTCCTCGATAGATATTCCATGCCATGAGCTACCTGATAAGCCCAAGAGAGGAGGTAATGGGAGCAGATGCATTCAGCATTCCAGTTTTGATAATTGCCTTCGTAGTTAGAACGCCAACTTGGTTGTAAATCATCACAATAAGAGGCACTACGGAACTCAATAGAATCGTTAGAGTCATGAGCCTTGGTCAAGAAAAAGTTTGCATCACCGTTGCTGAATGCCATTCTTAGATGACTGTATGATTCTAAATCCTTGTTTTTTGCTCTAATTAATGAAAAAAGTAAATATATATGTACATGATTTATTCAGTCATCATCTGCGTGGAAAAAAAATTTAAAGTTCACAATTATCATTTTTCTTTGAATATTTAATTTTCTAATAATTTACCTTAACAAAAAGCTTTAATCTAAAATAAGTAAAAAATTAAAAATAAGTTGATAAAGAACCACTTTTAGGTATATTAAATTACAAAGTATCAAACAAAATATATTTGGCAGAGCCATATTTTTCTTATATAGTACAAAACGTATAATTTAATCAACTATTATCTATTTGTTGAAAATTCTAATTAAAACATCAAAAGACTTTGATAACGTCATCGCAGTGCTTGTATATAGCCACTCAAAAAAATTAATGAGATTTATCAAAACAACTCGAAATGTCATTTTGATAGAGCAAAGTCAAAAAATGTAATAACGATGCTCAATTTAAAAAAAAAATCTAGAACTGTTCTATTCAAAACAAAATATAATACTGTTTTTACTTTCGACGCATAACTTCCATTGTTCATGCATTTTATTGCATCATGATGGAAAAAATTGCGCATGTTTGACGACAAAAATTGTGCCATCATACAGCCTGTAATTTTATTATGAATTCGAATTTTAATTGAAGGAATAAGAACATAAAATAAGTACCTTGTGGATTTTTGTTTAATAGATGAATCAATATGACCTGTAGATGGATTAATTTGGTCTACGAAATTTCTTCTATGATATCTCAAAAAGTCTTCCAGGTTTCCATGAGCACATGATTCGAGAATCACTAAAAATTCCCCTGCAAAATGGATTGTTTTTTATTTAAAAATGTCAATTATTTTTTGCCAAGTTATGCCATAAGAATTCCAACGTTTTGCAATATTTTTTGTACAGGTGCCGAGAAGATTTACTACGTTCAAGTCTTGCCCCAGATTCATCATAATTTTAAGTTCTCTAACAAGCGCACTGATATAAACAGGTTCAGCATTTTCGTGAACCATTTTTACAGCCACAATCGTAACAGGCTCTTTGGCACATATGTCAGAAGCTTCTGCTTTTACTACAACCCCAAAAGCTCCACTTCCCAACTGTTCACCTGTAATCTCAAATATCACAATTTGTCCATTAAATTTGGTTATTATAGCTATTGCTACACGGTAAACTCATGTTTCATACCTAACTTTAATTTTTCTCTAGAAAATTCCCACTTTTTATTATATGGAAGATACTCGGCCTGCTCGTTGAATGTTAGTTCTGGATTTATCAAATTAACGGCTCCTTCTTCGAAATAAGCCAAACCAGCTTTTAATAGCTGCTTTCTCATTATCTTTTTACAATTAATAAATTATTAATGATATTCCTAGAGATTTCATAAATTACTTAGAACTTTTAGTACAAAATATTATCTTACCTTTTCATGTTGTACTTTTAAACAAAAGTATACAGAAAGTAAAATAAGAATTGTGATGAAACAAACTACCATTGTATGTTGAAGATAACGTTCTCTAACCCCTAAAATCATAATTTATCGTATATGAATATTATCCATGGTAAAAGTTTCTATAATTTATTCACAAAACTATTTTTTAACTTTGAAAAAATGAGCAGCTTTGGTGTTAAACCAAGATAACACAATCGTGTAGAAATGTCACGCTATTATTCTGAAGCTGTTAGAACATTTATTATAAACGAATTTACTGTTTAACAATTGAGCTATAATCGAACAATTTATACTTTTTTTTATACTCGTTGTATGATATGAGATATAAGTATCCACTGTGTATAATAAGCCTTGACTAACTGGAAATATAGATTTAAAAAGAAGAATGCGGTGCACAACAGTAAAATATTAATTACATTTTTATCAAAAAATATTTGATGCAAGGTCAAAATTGAGCCATAAAGAATTGAAAACGGGAGACGTAAATGTTGAAAAATAGCAGAAAACATCAATTTTTGACTTTGTTAATTAAATTGTTCATAAAAATTAAACAAACATTTCTGAAAAATGTAAATGCTATTTACATAGTGTTAATAAGTAATTTATATTTTTTAAATTTAATACCTCAACAATTCGAGTGTTTCTATAATGTATCACTTGGATGTAAATTACATATAAACTAACTTTAGTATCATTTTATAGGTTTTTCTTGTGTTGTCTTTAATTTGATTTAACACCCAACAATTTGCTTAATATTTATTAAGAATAAATACGTCTTTAATCAAATTTTTTCGATGTGCTCAGTTGCCTTGTTAATAAATGGGAGTCAAGTTCAAAGTTTTGTTAATCCAAAAGTTCTCGAGACCTTGTTTATGTTGTTAATAAATGATTATTGATACTGATTCGATTAAATACACATTCTGATAAAATTTTTTTCGTAATATTTTATTAAAATATAAAGAAAAGTTGATGAAAGTAATGTTTTTTCATTACTGCAATGATTGTCTGCGTCCTAATGCTTTGGATATATCACTCTTTCATGCGCACTATACATATTTTTTAGCTTGAAGGTGTAATTGTGTTGTGTAAATGTAATGAGTATTTGAGGCACATTCTCTCACAGTGTAATAAGCTCAGTAGGCCTTTTTTGCAGACTTAAAACCGCAGCCTTAGTACTTTTGACCATCTTAGTTAGGTAACTAGTAAAGCCAGAAAAAATGTTTTTTTCTCTGAATGAAGGGGTTAATGAAAACCTTCAGTGAGAATATAAGAAAAAAAAATCTATTAGTGAAAGTAAAATTTATGGTTAATTGAATAATCATATATGATGAACAAGAATTAGGAATTTAATGGTCTGTGAGTCCATAGAGGGCCTCCGTAATATTTCTAGACGTGCTCCTGTAGCCAATACTGCTTTTTGTACAAATAATTTAGCAACTATTAAACTTTTACGAAATCGCCTTAGACAAAATATCTATATTGCTAAGGATTTGAAAATACGAGTAGACGATATTTTCAAGAATAACAACAAACAATAATAAAGAAAATTCTTCGTTCAAACTCTATGAATAAAAATAATTTATCATAAAACTGCGAATTCTTGCGAATTTTTCTATACGTCGGAATGTATTTAAAATATTTTTAAACTTTTATGAACAAAATATATTAACGATATACCTAGAAATATGACGACAATTTGATAGTATACACGAATGTGATAACACTTTTTTCTTAAATTTATGTAAACTTGGTGAGATTTCATAAAACGTTAATAAAATATAATGATAATAAAATAAAGGTATCGAATTCAGTGCGTTTAACTCAGATTGGTACGAAATGATCTTATCAAGACGAGAAATTAAGTTGATGATTGCGTAGTTATCAATAAAAATGTTTGAGAGTGTTCTCCCAGTATTAGGTTAGCCTGGAAAATATACTTAATGATATTTAAAACACAAGTTAGAGGAAACAAATTGTTTCAGATATTTTAAATAATTAAAAATGATGCATAAACTACAGTGACATAACAATGTTAAAATAATTAAGTTATTCTAAACACAAAACATTGCATGAAATATAAAGTGAAGATGTACACTAAAGTTAAAAAATATATATGTTATTGATAAATTTATGGAAATATGTTATAAAATATTTTATTGATTTTATTTTATTGTTATATTATTAAACAAAAAAAAGTATGTTCAAGTTGTAGTTCGAAGTAATAGATAAACAAGCCTTGCTCTGTAATACACATTATTAAGTATTGTAAAGTATTTTAATTCTTATTTTCTTACGCAAAGAATTACACAGCATTAGCGTCTTTCCACCTTGAATTTTTAATGGTAAAATGGTTTATGGTAGATTCAATTTCGAGAAAAAATTAGATATTAACTTGTATACAATACATCGTAACGAAATAATTTAGTATTGAAGGATTATTTTATTTAATACAAAGAATTTAAAAATAAACACATGTACTTATTTGTTTACCTGTTACGTTGACTTTTCGATATTTTTCTATTTTTTCGAATCGGTTTTCAGCACGACAGGAATAATTACCACTATCATCTTTCACTGGATATCTTATATCTAATTTTTGATCATCAAATACAAGGCTCAATCGATCTTCCGAAATATTCAAAAGTGCATCATCCTTGTACCATGTAATGTTCGGTCTTGGCGATCCTCCGACAAAACAAAATAAATGAATAATATTTCGAGCATCTGTTGTTAATACGATTGCACTGGTAGAATTCATATTATCTCTTATGAAATAAGGCCCCTTGCACACTGCAAAGATAAGCATAATTTAACTGTGAGTTATAATATAATTTTAAAAAATTGTCATTTGATAATATAAATTTAAAATAGAACCAATGATAATGATTGTTTTTATTATTGTTCAAATTTCAATCATTTTCACTGATATTATTTTTTAAAATATAAATTGTAAAGTTACGTATTTAGTTATAATTAAACCGAGTTAAACTGAACCTGCCGAAAAAATTGTGAGACTTTTTGGTTTCCTACCATATGGGTTAGAACCAAAGGGGTAATGAATATAAATACGACAGCCTAATTATTT